GATCCTATTAAAGGGGGGGGGGGGATGCTGTGGCTTGACCCCGGCATGCCTATGACAGTCATACACCGCCAATTTCTCATCCAGAAAAGTTGGGTGAGGCTAGTGCCAAGCGTCGAGCCTTCATCCTCGGTCAGACAGACATTTTCTTTGATAGATTTAGATATTAAATCGGCTATAAAGATATTCGGTTAGTAATACAAGTCGGTGAAGCTCATAATACAAAATATATATTTGTCACCTGTCTTTGTTTCATCATATATTTCTTGCAATGTTCAGTTGGGATTTCCTTGAGAATTTGCTTGTATATTTTAGCTTTCAATATTACCAGATAGATTTTTTAATATTGTAATTGTCTTTTCGAAGCGGGTGTGTGTGGGAATTGATCGTGGGCTCGCAGAGTAAAGGTAGCGAGCCCATAGAGCTGGGAACTGACTTTTCTATGAGCTGTCGTCGCTTCAGTGAACTACAGGTTGTTTTACGACATCTCAAGTGTATTCGCCCCTTCCCGCCAAACACACACCGAAACTACGACGTTGGTACAACGTTCGAACACGTTTTAACACCTAACCAGTTATAACAACCAATATAGCAAGTTGTAACAACGTTCTAATACGTCATAAACACGTTAAGTCAAGATGTAACAACTTTATTATAAGTTGTAACAAGCGGAAAATAAAAACAGTTTCGGTTTGTGTTTCCAGGGTTTGCGATGAGTGGAAAGGTCTGTTGGGTCCATGTCGGCACCCACTTGGACTATGGCGGCGACGGCCCCGCTTCTTGCATAGTCGGTGTTCGATCCCCGATGGTCCAAACTGACTGGTCATCGTTCCTTCGCTCTGTTCTCGCGTCCCTTCCAAGTAGTATTTAATCTTACTGGCTCTGTACTTTCTTATTGTATCACATCACCTTAACATGATGTTCACAGGTTATCGTGGTATTTGTTGTTTTTGAATTTTTATTCTTCTCTCTCCTTCATCCTCCCCGGTCGGCCGAGCGGACAGCACGCTGGACTTGTGATCCTGTGGTCCCGGGTTCGATTCCGGGCGATGGCGAGAAACAATAGGCAAAGTTTCTTTCACCCCTACGCCCCTGTTACCTAGCAGTAAAATAGGTACCTGGGTGTTAGTCAGCTGTCGCGGGATGCTTCCTGGGGGTGGAGGCCTGGTCGAGGACCGGTCCGCGGGGGCACTAAAGCCCCGAAATCATCTCAAGATAACCTCAAGATAGATAACCTCCCCCCCCCCTGCAAAAAAAAAAAAATCCTCCTCCTCCTCCTCCTTCTTATACGAAACTTACCGTTGACTTTCCACACCGAGGATGTCTCTAGTTTGCTTTAAGACGAAGATATAAATCACGGAAAAACACAACGTGAAAAAAATATATGAACCCATTTAGCATTCTCTGAAAACTTTGAAGTATTATCACGGAAACAAAAGATTTAAGTCTTTGTTTTAAGTCTGGAAAAGTTTGTCCTCTTTGATCCTCCGTCGTAGGACTCCAAACTGTGATGAAAGTCCTGAAATAGAGGAATAAAGAATAAGAAGAAAAGTAACAAATGAAGAGCCACAGTAGTAAGAATGATAACAGAAGGAGACGCTAATAACACTGAACAAATGTACACGAAATATATGTAAACTGGGAGTGAAACTCATCAGTAAATAACACCAATTTTTATTAAACTTGAGAACAGAGTCGTACAGAATTATCACATAAAACAGTGTCCATACATTAAGTGTTGATCCCATAGAGCTGACATTGACAAGATGAGGGGGGTAGAGGGCAAGTAGAGGAGTATAAGGAAAGAAGAGAGTAGGAAGAGAGCCATTAGCTGCTCTTCAGCTAAAGAGGGAAGAGGGAAAGGGGGGGTTAAACCCCTTGTGAGAGGATGTTGAAGTGTACATCTTCAATTCTTGAGAGGGATCAGATCACAGGTCATACTCCAGGAGCCAATATACAGCATAGTAGTATATATATATATATATATATATATATATATATATATATATATATATATATATATATATATATATATATATATATACACGTTTTATAATCTTATTTACAAAAAACTTGGTTAATAAATAGTATCAAAAATAGGTCTTTCCATACGTGATGCTCTCAGTAAATGAGTGTGTACAGGATGCAGCGGCAGCTTCGCCATCTCTCAGCACCCGTGACAACAAAGACAATAGATAAATAGATATACTAGTTATCTTCGTATCATAGCTACTCAGATATCTAATTACCTCGGTTCCATACGCCAGCCGTTACCAAATATCAGAAACAGAGGACCCAGTTGTTCTTGACTAGTACACATTCATTGCTGCCTCAATATTATAAACATCGGTATCTGTTCTCCAAGATATCATAAAAAGATATCTATAGTTTCCCCGATATCATACATCCTGAATTTCCTGGCCTGTTATGTGGAACATTTGGGTTGAGAAGATTATATGTCACCGTTTAATAATATCTGTCACGGTGTTATGTATTTCCATGGGTAAACTTAGTGTTGAGCATTCTGCTGTATATTTGTATGTGGTGCGCTCTCTCTCTCTCTCTCTCTCTCTCTCTCTCTCTCTCTCTCTCTCTCTCTCTCTCTCTCTCTCTCTCTCTCTCTCTCTCTCTCTCTCTCTCTCTCTCTCTCTCTCTCTCTCTCTCTCTCTCTCTCTCTCTCTCTCTCTCTCTCTCTCTCGTTGTTACTGGTGCTTGACGCAAATTAAAGTCAGTAGTGTTTTTTCTGGCTATTAGAAACAAGTTTCTATAATGGATGTTTGACCTGTTTCACACGTTCACCAGCACTGGAATATTAATTTCTTCTTGTCAAACTCCAAACGTTTATTTTTTTCTTAGCGTTTTTGTCTTTATTTTAATGCTTATTTGCTTTTCAAATTAATGTCTTTGTTTTTCTGAGTTATATTCAGAATAATACAAAAATCGTGTCTTTGTTCTTCATTCTCTTCATTGTAGATTGTATACAATCACATGCAGATGGCTGACCACAACAGTCACTACGTGTTAAGGTCAATACTCGTCAAGTTATTAAAAAAAGCGTGTGTTTTATTTGCTCGATTAGTAAAGTGTGCTTTAAATTGGCATAGCAATAAAGTGTGTTGAAGATGTTGCGTGAATACATTGTGATCTATTTACCGCAGCAGGAATGAAGTGAACTTTATTCGACACAAAAATATGAAATGTGCTCTATCTGTTAAATTTGCAAAAATGTGCTTTAATTGCAGTACTGATCAAACAGATATATATATATATATATATATATATATATATATATATATATATATATATATATATATATATATGTATATAATATTTATTTATTTATTTCAGTGCGTATTAATGTTTTTGTGTATTTTTTTGCTGTGAATGTACAGATGGCTTTTTGGGGACTTGTATGGCATTCTTAAATTCTAGCGTCATGTGCTTCACACACATGTGAAGCACATGACATGTGTACACACACACACACACACACACACACACACACACACACACATGTGCTTCACACACATGTGTACACACACACACACACACACACATGTGCTTCACACACACACACATACGAGAGACGCTCTCACCTTCAACAACAGCGGTCCAAAACAGTCACAAGCCAAAACAGGAGCTCGGGAGAACAGTCCAGCTCCACTACAAGCCAGGAGTATCAGTGAGGTGAACTTACCAGTCAATGAAGAAAAGTTATAGAGTCCATTTCATGTCAAGGTGATATAACTCAGGAGAACTTTTCCATCCAATTTCATGGCCAGATTCGCCAGATTTATCTGTCTTTCCAATTTTAGGCCAGGAGGGAGGGGGGGGGTTAACTCATTACTCTGATGCTTAAATTTGTCCGGTTATTAGCTTCTAATGTGCCACAGTGATCAGTCAAATCATGTACCAGCCAGTCACAAGCCGTATAACGTATTCATGCCAATCACAACCACAAAAGTATACCTGCTAATCACAAACCTAAAAGTATACCTGGCAGTCTCAAGCCTAAAACTATACCTGTCAATCGCAACCTCAAAAGTATACCAACCAATCACAAGACAAAATATATACCAACCAATCACAAGCCAAAATAGCAATCCAATACATCTTACCAGTTACAAAAGTTCATCATAAATCAACCAAGAGCACCATTATTAACATACAGAGTGTCTTCACTAATCACGGAACCACGTTTGTTAACTATCCACCAACAGCAGACGCGATGGTTATCAGAATCCACCACACAGACACAGCGGATCTCTGGGTGTGGTAAATGCTCTTATCAGTCACCAACCAACCAAATAAATCAAATTATTTCTGGTGCAGCACATAATCCAAAATCACCTGTCTATGTATGTATATATATATATATATATATATATATATATATATATATATATATATATATATATATATATATATATATATATATATATATATATATATACGTGTGTGTGTGTGTGTGCTTGAACTTGTGTGTGTAAAACTCTGAAGAACAAGTTGATTTGATGATTCGAATCATCGATGAACGATGATTCTTGCAATGCTATTTAGACGTCTTTTTACCTGTAAATGAGATCAGAGATCAGTCCTCCATGACCATAATGTAAGCATAAACATTTTACAATGTTAGTTATACCGAAAACACTTCACTTAACTTTCTTAACCTGGCCAACATTCCGTTGTAATTATTCCAGCATTTTGTTCTCCCAGTTATTCAGGACAACATTCTGCCCCTGATCATATGAGCATCGTGTCACATTCTGCCCCTGATCATATGAGCATCGTGTCACATTCTGCCCCTGATCATATGAGCATCGTGTCACATTCTGCCCCTGATCATATGAGCATCTTGTCACATTCTGCCCCTGATCATATGAGCATCTTGTCACATTCTGCCCCTGATCATATGAGCATCTTGTCACATTCTGCCCCTGATCATATGAGCATCTTGTCACATTCTGCCCCTGATCATATGAGCATCTTGTCACTATGACATGAGCACCAAAACCACGTGTTATTCTTCCGCCTCTGCCTCATGTTTGATCGCAAGTACACGAGGCTCTAGGACCGATGCCGGAGGCTCTAGGACCGATGCTGGAGGCTCTAGGACCGATGCTGGAGGCTCTAGAACCGATGCTGGAGGTTCTAGGACCGATGCTGGAGGCTCTAGGACCGATGCTGGAGGCTCTAGGACCGATGCTGGAGGCTCTAGAACTGATGCTGGAGGTTCTAGGACCGATGCTGGAGGCTCTAGGACCGATGCTGGAGGCTCTAGGACCGATGCCGGAGGCTCTAGGACCGATGCTGGAGGCTCTAGAACCGATGCTGGAGGCTCTAGGACCGATGCTGGAGGCTCTAGGACCGATGCTGGATGCTCTAGAACCGATGCTGGAGGCTCTAGAACCGATGCTGGAGGCTCTAGAACCGATGCTGGAGGCTCCAGAACCGATGCTGGAGGCTCTAGGACCGATGCTGGAGGCTCTAGAACCGATGCTGGAGGCTCTAGAACCGATGCTGGAGGCTCTAGGACCGATGCTGGAGGCTCCAGAACCGATGCTGGAGGCTCCAGAACCGATGCTGGAGGCTCCAGGACCGATGCTGGAGGCTCTAGGACCGATGCTGGAGGTTCTAGGACCGATGCTGGAGGCTCTAGGACCGATGCTGGAGGCTCTAGGACCGATGCTGGAGGCTCTAGGACCGATGCTGGAGGTTCTAGGACCGATGCTGGAAACCATCAGACGCGCCACCTAGGCTGAGCAACCTCCCACTAGCCACACAACACCTGTAAATGAACACGTGTTCTCGCTATGAGGTGGCACTGTGAGGTGGCACTGTGAGGTGGCACTGTGAGGTGGCACCAAGGTATAACTGTCACTTAACAAGGAGCCCAGGAGTTGTGTGCCGGGTAAACATCTGTCATTGGCTGCCGCTTGTCTTATATCAAACTTCTTTTCATCATCATAACTTTCCGGTCCACTTTTATCTTTTGATCCTTTCTTCTCTCCGTTCTCTTCCTCGTCTCGCTGTTGCTCCTTATGCTGTTGCTGCTGTGGCTGCTGTTGCTGCTGCTGCTGTTGTTGCAGCTGCTGTTGCTGCTGTGGCTGCTGTTGCTGCTGCTGCTGTTGTTGCAGCTGCTGTTGCTGCTGTGGCTGCTGTTGCTGCTGCTGCTGCTGTTGCTGCTTGAGAACGAGAACACGTGAGCCCGGGACCTCAGAGAGAGAGGCAAAGGAGTGACCACAAGTCTGGTGGGCTGTGTGGAACAGGGCACTGGGAACTATAGGGGTCACTCTGGAAAAGGTGTAGAAGAGGTGGGAGGGGTGTCACAAGAGTGACCCCGAGAAAGAGGGAAGTTATTAGGGGTAACCTGGGATGCCAGAGGTCACACGGGAGAGGTCAAAGGTCACACGGGAAGGGGTCAAAGGTCACGCTCCACACCTCTGCTCCTGTGCTTGTGTAATCCGCTGGACGCCAAGTGAGAGAAGAGAGCAAACGTGTTGCCATTAGACACATGTATAACAGTTAATAAGGATATATCACATATCATATTCAATGGTTAGAGTATGAGGGGAAACAGACAAGTGTTATTTAGCATTAATAAATATACATAAATATACTGCTTGCAATATATATATATATATATATATATATATATATATATATATATATATATATATATATATATATATATATATATATATATATATGTATATATATGACATTTATATGTTACGATTATATGCTGCATTGAAGATATATTATTGGTATTACGTTAATCGGTATTAGGTTAATAGGTGTTAATAGGTATTAGGTTAAAAGGTATTAGGGTAATAGGTATTAGGGGTAATTTATATTATATTAATAGATATTAGGTGGCTAGTTGTGAGATTAAAAGATATTAGCTTATTAGATATCAGGCTAACATATATTAGGGTAATATGTATTACGTTAATAGGTATTAGGTCGATAGATATTAGGGTAATATATATTAGGTAATAAGTTGAAGGTGAAACAAGGGTTAGTGAAGTCAGAGCAAATAAAATATTGTATAATAAATACAAGAGCTTACACCCGACCATTATAACATTCCTGTCTATCCAACCAATTTTGAATTATTCTCTTATATGATAATTCTTGACAGATTGTTCCACTCTTCTTCATATGTAGCTTCATATGTATACTCAACCTATATATTTTCATGCAAAATTAAAGCTTACTTAACCTAACCTTACCTTACCTAGCCTTACATCACCTAACCTAACCTTCCATATTCTAAATTACTTATATTTTGTATAATCTAACTAATTAAAACTGACCTATACTAATCTAACCTGACAAAACCTTGCCTAAACTAACTTCATCTAACCTACCCTTGCCTAATTTGACTTGTATTTTGTCTAACCTAACCAAAACTAATCGACTAAACCTATATTTTGTCTATCTTAACCTTTTCTTGCTTAACTAACCAAACTAACCTAACCTAACCTAACCTAACCTAAGGGGGAGAGAGTTGAACGAGAGAGAGAGAGAGAGAGAGAGAGAGAGAGAGAGAGAGAGAGAGAGAGAGAGAGAGAGAGAGAGAGAGAGAGAGAGAGAGAGAGAGAGAGACAAAGACAGAGACAGAGACAGATTTAGAGTTAGTGAAAAAATAGTGAAAGGCAGACAGGAAAATTGCGTTGTCTCTCAACAACTTAGAGCCGCCATGCACAACTGCTGCTGTTCAAGTACGTTTATTGAGATATTAAAATCCATCTCAAAGGGATAGAGCAGCTTAGGCTCTTTCTACCCTCTAACCTCCTAGCTGCTGCTCCCAGCCCTCGGCTAAATTAAGACCTCAACTCCTTACTCACGATCCATTTACATTTTTAGTTAGTAGAAGAGCTCTTAAATGTAGATTTGGGTTTCACGTGTGTGAAATATCTGTTACGGTGTATATATGGGATTTATAGATACTGTTGTATACACCTGACGCTGTCTTAACAACCAGGAATTATCGTCTACACCTGACGCTCTTAACAACTCCCCTCAGGATCTATCCTTTCTCCGCTCCTCTGGATCTACCCCCTCCCCTCTCACCACCCATCCCTTCCTCTCTCTCCCTCTAAGACTACTGGAGAAAACACATAACAACCTTCAACTTAATCCCAATGCAATTATCAGAAGTGGATAAGCCAGGAAATTACTCCTCGACCGAGAGTCTGAGAAAGATAGATAAAGAGAGGTTGAGACTAGAGATAGAAAGAGAGAGGGAGAGAGAGAGAGGGAGGGGACTCTCCCTCTCTCAGCCTCTCACTCATAACCAGACCCTCTCCCTCACTACACTTGCGTAAGGCACTCACTTAAGTGCCATGGAGACAGGCTTGCCACACTATTCTGAGGAGAGCAGACACCAGCAGGAGACCCACACTCTTGTAGTGATCCGCTGAGCTGTTGGTCTGCATGGCTGCCGGGTGCTCACCTGGGGGAGAGACAGTGTGTGTGTCTGAGTGAGTGAGAAAGTTGGTGACAGGCAAGGAGTGAGGGAGTGAGAGACAGTGAGGGAGGGAGAGACAGGGAGGGAGGGATGGAGGGTATGGGAGACAGGGAGGGAGGGAATGGGCGACAGGGAGGGAGGGAGGGAGGGTTAGTGTGTGCTACACAAAGGGAGGGCGGGAGGGAGCGAAGGGTTGACAGAGTCCAATAATAAGTAATTAATAATATCAGTAATTACATTTCACACTCCTCACTCTCCCTCACTTAAATTATAAAGCAAGAAGAATATTAAACATTAGCAATTGTAGTGCTGCAAATAATAATAATAATAATAATAATAATAATAATAATAATAAAAGCCAAGAACAATGGGAACAAGTACACCAATAACAAATAATATTACCACTCCTCACGCAGCAAATATCTTCATTGTGACTTTTCAAGGAAACTTTTCCTTGAAACTTTTCAAGGAAATGTTGGACTAGTCGACGTCACAATGTTGGTCTTGATCATAGGAACTAACAACAGTGTGAATCTCTAACCTGTTGAGGGTTTAAGTGTACTCTAATATGCACATTACAAGAAAGCTTTCCATACTAAGCAAGAAAGTTTTCCATGCATGAAAGGTGTACTAAGTGAGAAAGGTGTATTAGGTTAGAAAGTTTACTAAGCTAGAAAAGGTATACTAAGGTGTATTGAACAAGAAAGGTATACTAAGTAAGGTGTATTAAGCTAGAAAGGTCGTCTAAGTGAGAAAAGTGTATTAGGAAGTTTACTACGGTAGAAAGGTCTACAAGAAAGGTGTATTAAACCTTCAAAGTTTCCTAAGCTATAAAGTAAGAAACTTGTACTAATTTCGGTACACTAAATAAGAGAAGTGTACTAAGATAACATAATTAACAAAACAAAAAATAAAATTTAACAAGTCTTGCAAGAATGACCTCGTTTGAAACTACGGCGTCGAGCAGCGGCGTCCCCCCCCCCCACCACCACCACCAACACCGCCTCGCTTCTTAACCATTTGCTAACTAGCAGTTTGTGGACGGACGCATGCGCAGGCTTCCCGTGGAAGTAAGTTAGTCTAGTGGTGTCTGGTGGTGCGCAGAGTTCCGTGGCCTATCCTAGTGTGGTGATCATGTGGACGTTCCTGGCGTGACGGAGTGTGAACGTCACACCCTTAAAAGTCCTCCCCTACCATGAGGTTACCTTGAGGTGCTTCCGGGGCTTTGCGTTCCCGCGGCCCGGTCGTCGACCAGGCCTCCGCAGGCCTAACGCAGCGTCCAAAAACGTCGCGGTGGGCGAAGTCGACGTATTAATCACGGGGGCTTGACGCAAAGTGCGCCTGGGTACACCAGGCTGTTGTGGTCGAGTGTGTACTGTGTGACCCGCTCACAGCCCCAGTGTTACGCTCAGAGTTGATATGATTCAATAAATATATTCCGGATAGGGTGAAAACAATGGAGCTGGAGATACTAATGATGGCACTAATTACACGCCAGTAATTACCCCCTTCACCTGCTGCAAGAGACCAGAGGTAGGTCGCTTCTCTGCTTCTTTTTATATATATATATTTATACATATATATACATAATATATATATATATAATCTCCCTATTTAAACTAATTATATATTTCATTATTTTACATGCAAGATTATTAGTAAAATATACATACAAATATTTGCTGAAAATATTATTCTGGCTTTACTAACATAAAAGTGTATTTTATATTAATTATCATCATTGTGATATATTTACACAGTACAGCCTAGTAACAAGTACCTACGATTACTGCTCTTGGTAATTACCCTATTTACCAATAGATAGTTTAAGAAATAATTGTTCTTTTTCAACAGATAAAATTTATTGTAACTCAATCGGTGTTTACCTAAATTTTGCCCCTTTGATAAATGTGTTATCATAGCCAATGAATTGAGTATATATATATATATATATATATATATATATATATATATATATATATATATATATATATATATATATATATATATATATATATATATATATATATAATATATATATACTTTGTATATTAAGGGAAGTGTTTGCAGTGAATTATTCAGTGGACAAATGCCAGCTGTTTGCTCGTTCATTATCAACACTAAAATGAACCATAAAAGTGCAGCTATGGCAAAAATCATAGACTTTTAAAGCGTTCTCGATTACGACAAAACTAATGTTGTCGTTAAGCTTTTTCTAAGAGCTGACTGTTTTATAGCTGGGAGTAAATGGACGGAGCTCTGATGTGCAGTTTTCCACGTGCTGAG